GATAAACGCAGGGCTGGCTGTCACTGGGTGTGACCGGAGATCATGTCATGGCCTCACATTCAACAATAGTGGGTCCTCATACTAGGGAAGGTCATATCTCGCGCAGACAACTACGGCGTTGCTACCCGCGCTACTCGTCTTGGTAATGTTGCGTACGGAAGTTCCATCTTTTTGTTAAGAATGTAAGGTCAACCCAACAATACTGTCACAGGGAAATACAATGACAAAATTAGCATTAATGACTTATTTATGTTCAAAAGCTTTCACTACTCATTTAATGTGATTATATTTAATAATAGCAGGATATGAAACCATTCTGCAGTAATGACGCATTAGCTGGGTAGAAACTTTAGTACATTAACGAATAGATGAATTTAGAGTTAGAAAGGATGTTGGGACTTATTGATTCAGCAGTCGAGTTTGAGTGGAAAAAACTTACAGGCAGCGTCATTAAAGCGAGAACCTTGGGTAGCTTTAATTATAGATTAGTTGGGTACATGAGTGGGTATGATTAAGTGTGAATTGGACCAGCCTAGTATAGTCCACTTTTAATTTTTTTTATACAACTCGTACTCTCGAAGAATGTTTTTAACGCGTTATATATATATTTATACATATAATATAATTATATATATATTATATATATATATATAATATATATATATATATATATATATATATATAATATATATATATATATATATAGAATTTCAACAAACCGGCCGTGTCCCACCAAGGCAGGGTGGCCCAAAAAGAAAAACGAAAGTTTCTCTTTTTAAATTTAGTAATTTATGCAGGAGAAGGGATTACTAGCCCCTTGCTCCCGGCATTTTAGTCGCCTCTTACAACACGCATGGCTTACGAAGGAAGAATTCTGTTCCACTTAGCCATGGAGATAAGAGGAAATAAACAAGAACAAGAAAGAAAATAGAAGAAACCCCAGAGGGGTGTGTATATATATGCTTGTTCATGTATGTGTAGTGTGACCTAAGTTTAAGTAGAAGTAGCAAGACGTACCTGAAATCTTGCATGTTTATGAGAGACAAAAGACACCAGCAATCTAATCATCATGTAAAACAATTAGACTTTCGTTTTACACTCACTTGGCAGGACGGTAGTATCTCCCTGGGTGGTTGTTTACCAACCTACTACTACCTAGGATTATATATATAGTATATAATATATATATATATATATATATATATATATATATATATAACATACATACATGTATATATAATATATATATATATATATATATATATATATATATATATATATATATATATATATATATATATATATATATCAACAACAATGCGACTAGCCGAGGATTCAAACCCATGTCGTTTTGGCCTACCTCATGGTGACCGAAAATCACACATGATGCTATAACCCACAGGGCCATGCAATCTTACAAGAATCAAGCACCCAGCAGAGCTAGGTGTTTTACCTTGATCCGAGGACATATGGTAGTGTGGGTGCCTCCGAACTAATTTCATTCTAATCCCCGTTTGGTGTACTAGCCTTCACGAGCAGTATTTTATATTATTGTAACCACAAACAAGTGGTATTGAATCAATAACAACACTGTGACTAGCCGAGGATTTGAATCAGTGTCGTTTTGGTCCCTCTCATGGTGAGCGAAAATCACACATGAGGCTCTAACCCACAGGACCACGCAATCCTACAAGAATCAAGCACTCTTATAATGTCGTGCCAAATAGGTAAAACTTGCGATTTTGGCTTAAATAGCAACACTCTTGCCGAATAAGGCAAGCAAGTACATATGTAGTAATTTCACAAAAATCATTCTGAACCTAACAAGAAAGTATATTTCATTGTTTGTTTATTATTAAATTGTCAACTTATTTAAAATATGTATAGTTGGATTATGCTAAATTAAATTGTGCTTGTTATAATAAGGTTAGGTAAGTTTTCTAAGGTTGTTTTGGTACAAAATTATTAATTTTTACATTAACATAAATGAAAAAAATATATCTTTAAATGCATAAGAGAAAATTTTAGAAAGGACTTAATTTTATATGAGTTTTTGCTAATTGACCAGTTTTACCTATTTGGCACCACACACACATCTGCATATATATATATACATACATATATATACAGTGGAGCCTCAGTTTTTGTGATTAATCCTTTGGAAAAAGTCTCAAGAAAACCGAATTGTACGAAAACTGAAGCAATATTTCCCATAAGAAATAATGTAAATCCAATTAGTCTGCTTCAGACACCCAACAATATTAACAAAAAATACATTTTATAGAGAATAACTATGGTTTTACGTACAGAAAACAATGAGAAATAAATATGACTAATAAAATGGATAAATGAACATTTGACACTACTTTTACCTTTATTGAAGACACTTGTTGGCGTATGGAAGACGGCGAGGAGGGGAGAGGGAGGAGGAGAGGTTATTGTTTGGAAAGGGAATCCCTGCCCATAAGGAATTCAGGTATCAAGGCCCTCTCTGAGGTTACTTCCCTTCTTTGTCTTTTACTGGCACTAGGATCAGCTTGAGAGTTACTGGACCCCTTTCACACAAAAAATCTGTCCAGAGAGGTCATGGTGGCTTATGTAGCAGTTGCACTCAATAAACAAGCACAAAAAGCAATGGATTACAGTGGACCCCCGCATAACGATCACCTCCGAATGCGACCAATTATGTAAGTGTATTTATGTAAGTGCGTTTGTACGTGTATGTTTGGGGGTCTGAAATGGACTAATCTGCTTCACAATATTCCTTATGGGAACAAATTCGGTCAGTACTGGCACCTGAACATACTTCTGGAGTGAAAAAATATAGTTAACCGGGGGTCCACTGTATTATGAAATGTTTTGGATGAACGTGCGGGGTGATACTCACTCGACGAGAAACAAAGGCGCTCAATTCCGGGAAATGAGTGGCCGAGTCACGTGGGCAGGCGGACAAGTTTGGTATGGACCATTTTCAACTGTACAAAAACTGGGACAAAATTCTGACAAAAAAAGTTGTTGAAAACCAAATCGTACAAAAACTAGGGCATACGAAAACCAAGGTTTGACTGTACATGCATATACAACCTCTCCTCACTTACCAATGGAGTTCTGTTCCTATGACCATGTCAGTAAACAAATTCATCTCTAAGTGAGGAGCATACTATAATGGTAGTGGGTTTGTGTCATCCATCTTTGATATTGTGTTAATGTCACTTTTGCACCATCTATAACATTTCAGGTATATTTTTAAATGTTTATAAAGTAGTGTACTGTATATTCTAATAAACAGAATAGAGGAAATCAGCTCTAATACATGTATACATTATTTAGGTATGTATACTGGTCAGAGAGCCCGTCATAAGTCCGAGTCGTTGGTAAACGAGTGTGTCGCTAAGTGAGGAGCTGTATATAAAATCTTTAAGGGGAAGTGGAAAAGAATCCTTCTGTAAGCCATGTGTGTCATAAGAGGCAACTAAAATGCTGGGAGGAAGTGGCTAATAAACCCTCCACCTGTATGAATTACTGAACGTACAAAGAAGAAAAACTTGACATATCATCTTTTACGGGTCACCCTGCCTCAGTGGGAACTGCCATTGTTAAAAAAATATATAGGTCTCCCTCAACATTTGCGAGGGTTAGGGGATCAAGAGCCTCACACTAGTCGATAAAGGCTATAGCACCAGCCAGCGATAAACTGTAACAAGAAAGTTAAGCGATTAATTGATAGAAAAAGGACAGCACGAACTTAACTCCTCCAATGTTGTTGGATTTATATAAAGTGACTGACAGCACTGCCGTCTCTACCGCCTTTGCTGCCACCTCCCTCCATCATCATGTACAGCTTATGCTCTCAGTGGCCCTTATACACCCAACAACAACAACAATGCAAGAACACTCATTTCATAATGACATACTTTTTTTCATTCTAGAGTACATGTATATGTCATGTTTCTATGTTATTAATATTGTTAATTATGTCATATTAGATGAATTATGATAGATAAATAAGCCGTAGAGTTGATAGTGTCATATTGAAGGACTATCTTGTCCTATCTCCAAACAAACTCTGCCACCCCCACAATTCCTAACATGTGTGATGACATATTTTAAATATGATTGGGCGGCTGGGAATTCGCGAATGTTCGAAGCCCGTGAAAGTAGAAAACACGAATGTTGAGGGAGACCTGTATAGTATATATATTTATTTATGTATTTTTTTAATTTTATAAATAAAATGTTAGATTTGGCAAAGTTAAACTAACATGCTTAACATAAAATATGAAAGGGTGCCAAAATTTAGAAAGTGCAGAATTGAGGTGAGGATGGGTTGGTGCATATGGTTCCCAGATTTTCAGCTGAACATTTTATAAAAGATGAGATAATTTCAGCATCATCACTTCACTAATAGACAAAACTGTTTGAAGATGAATTTGGCTTCTAAGAAAAGCCTGGCACCTGTAGCTGCTGTGGGGGAAAAACAGCCCATACTTATCATATTCAAACTTCCTATTGGTAAGTAGTGTTTATACTTAACCTGCTTAATTTTAATTTGCTTATTTTATATTTCTTTATTCCAACAGTGGAACAGCAGTTGTTAGTTTTGTATGTTATATCCTTAGATCACTTGACAGCATATTTATTATAATGAACTGCTGATGATGGTGGAAGCTTCTGTTAAGCACTGTTTGTGATAACATACATCTAGGTAATAGCATTTTTATGTTAACAGTTATGATTTTGAATTATTAAATTCAAATATACTGCATATAAATGCAGGTATTTTATTTAGTGCTTAAGGATTTCATTAAAAATGCTTCTCTTTTTTTTTTTTTTTATTTAAAAAATTACAGGTACATGTACTGTAGTGTACATTACTAAATGCAACAAAATAATCTTGCCACTGCCTGAATTATACCATGTTTTGCAAATAAAAACTTATTTTTTTAACATGTTCTAGTGTATTATATTAATATAAGAAAAATCTAATGATTTTAATGCAGCACGAGGAAGTTACAGACCCCAGCGTCCTATGGTAACTGGCACCTCCAGCGTCACCATTCATGTGGGCTCAAATGGCAAAGTCCTCACCCCACCTGCTTTACAGTCAAATCAAAAGTCTGCTAGCCCTTTCCCATCTGCCATTAGCATTCCATCACAGAAACCTTCTACATTCAAATCTGTCTCCTTTCTTTCACCTGTTTACAATCTACACCCCTTGAAATGCTCCCAGAGTAGTTATGAAAAAAATGATACTGAAATAGAAAATGTTAATAAAAATATTATAAAGGGTCCAAAAGATTCCTTAAGTAAGTATGGATCAGTAAAGTTTGCAAAGAAATCCAGAAAGCCACCACCACCTCCCATTCTTGCTAATGATAGTAGTACGCCAATCATTTGGTTACCAAGCTTCCATCACCAGTAGCAAAACTACGAACACACATACCAAAAAATAAAAATAAAGATATTGAAACAAAGGAATCTCTCAATCATGATACCAGTCAGCCACTGGTCAGGGAAGAATTAGATGTAAATTTGAAACCAATGTATAATGAGTCTCATGTGTCAAGTTGCAATCTAAAGTATCAGCCTGTACCAGACATTGTTTCTATGACTCAGAAGGAGAGGTTAGTGTCACCCACGAATGATAATGTTGGAAAAAATGAAAATAGCAAACCAACATTTAGAATTAATAAGTCAGTTTCGATATATTCGTCTTCACAGGCACAGTCAGAAATGATAGATAATCATGTCTCCAAAGATGGTCAAAGACAGTTTTATGTGACATCAAAGAGAGTAAGTTCACAGACATCAAAAACTATCTCTGTAACAAAATCACACTCCTCAAATTCTGCCACAAATGCTTACACAAACAAGGGCAGTATGGGTGGCTGTAAGATGACGAGTTTCCCACCTCAGATTTCTTCAAGACCTGTTAATCTTACACGGATGTCCAAGTCTTGTAAGCCTACTACAGGCAATCCACTGCACAGGGAGTTGATTAATAAATTTGAAATTTCTCCTAAAACAGGCGAGAATGTTTCTAGTCTCCAGAAGGTAAGCATAAAAGAACGCAAAACTGAGATGGAAACATTTTCAGATTGTACATTTACTTCCAATATGAATAACTGTATACAAAAGCAAGAGGTAAAACAGAGTGTCGATTCTTTCAACATTTCATTGGGTGAAAAAATTCCTCTCACAGAACTAATTCAAAATTTGAAGGAGAAAGAGAAAATACAACAAATATCTCTTAATGCACCGAGTGAAAATTCTGGGAAGACCCCTGCAGAGCCAAAAACTACTGAAATGCCATGGAGACAGGAGACTAGGGCCAATGTATTGCCCCCTGCAAATTCTCCTAGCAATAGAACTTTTGTCCCAAATATTGGAGTTAATGGTTCTACAGGGGAGATTAAAAATCCTGTTCCTGGTCTTGTTAACCATCATGAATCCACCAGGGTTTCTCAGACCAAAAAAAAAGGCACAGTGAAAGGAAATTTGTTTAAACGAGGAGAACAACCCAGAATGTCATATACTAAGATAGTATGTGTTGTCAGTTTGTAATAATGTACATACTGTACTGTAATACAAAGTGATTAGCAAGAAAATTTTCTGTTTTCTAGAACCAGAATAATTTTTAGGCACATCCTATTCTTTTAGGATGAATTTCTCTTAGATTATACTCTGTTATGAAGCTAAAAAGAAACAATTGCTATATATTCTAGTACATACTGTATTGGCTATTGATCCACTTAATTTCATTTTAAATAAATTACTTTTCTTCCCATCAGGTTTTAAGGGCTCATGGAAGGAGCATACTAGGCTGTAGGCCTTCAAAACATTTGTGACTAGCCAACTGACAAGAATAATTTAGGTAGTGTATAGTTGCATCAAAGGTTACAGTAGCTTGCAAACTGCAATTGGTATTTTATTGCTATTACTACTGCTGCATATTTTCTTTACTCATCCACATCACTTTTAATGCTGTATGTGGTTTCATTTATGCACTGTTGGAACTGTTGACAACACTGGGTTGCACAGTTGCATTGAAGCCATGAGTTGAGATAGTTTCGTCATTTTACATGTATTGTTTTATATGGGATACTTACACATATTTATGGTAAAGTAATCTTGTGGTTTAACATTTGTATTGTTTAATTACAATATATATATATATATTGTACTTTATGTAATTATCATACCATTCATTTTATTCACAATGCCAACAGAAAGCTTGAAGACACATGTACATAAACCAACTAGTCATGGAGCTTAAAAGTGTATACTGTATATTAATGCTTTTTATTGCAGTTATTATGTATTTGCTTACTAAGTTATGTACCAAAATGTGTGTGCTAATTGCCTAGTAGATTTTTAGGTACAGTATGTACTGTATCATGTATGGAATTTCCTAAACATACATATTAGCTTTCTTTATATAACTACAGTATTACATTATAAATTTCTGATATTTACTGTACATGCTTGTGCTTGGCAATTATGCTTGGTAATGTATAGTGTAGTTGTAGATTTAGTAAAAACCCTCATTTACCTTACAGGTGGCTTGGCTAGTTACACCCCCAGCAAGATCCAAATTGGTAGTACTTTTGAACTGGGAGTGTCTCGAACAGCCCCACCTGTCCCTACCCCACCTCCCGCCCCTCCTGTCCAATCAGAGAGGGCCGAAGAGGAATATCTGCGACCAGCTGATGAAACAGAAACTGTCACTTGGAGTGCTGAGAGCACATCAGATATGCTCTTTTGAAGTGAAACCATCCAATTAGTGTCATGCTCAATTCTTTTAATTCAGTAGGAGTTAATTAACAGCCATCTAGCTCAGTCAAGGTCTTTATACTACAGTGCTTCCCTCTTTGAATGGAATTCAAGAGACTATGCATTCAAGACCGCCCAGTTCATGACTTCAAAACTGATGTTTGCATGATGGGTTGAACAAGGAACTTGCACTAATGTATAGTCTTGATGTGTGGTTTGAAAGTGGATGGTCATGCATTTTTATTACATGAAAGTATATACAGTAGTTTACAGTTTATAATGACTCAAAACAACATGGTTGACATATTCTTGTTGTCACTCTTTCAGTTTAAAAAAATATGTATACAGAATATCCGTACTCAACTTGTGATATAAAGACTATGAATATATTTTACTTCTTGATTTTGAACAATCCTCTTTCAGATTGTTTATCTACAGGACACCTTCTTATCCCAGGGTTGGTACTTTGTATACAGGGATGGCTTGAGATGTAACTCAAAGAGTGCTTCTGTGCACCCTCCCAATAGTGAATTTGTTAAAAGTACATTTTTTTAGTATTCAGTGATGTTAAACATTAGTGGATACTAGTCATGGTTTGTGTGCAAGTATGAATGTTTACTGTCATTTGAAACTTGAAACATCAAAACTCAAGTTTTTGTATAATGTGCATCATTTTCTTAAGGCCTGACAACGAAAACTATATTCCATTTATGCATCACTTAATAGTGCTAGCTTTGTCTCATCCCAAAAATATGTTACGAAATATTCCTGCCTAGAATGTAGTTATGTGAAATTTCCTCGTCTGTGTAGCCATTCAGCAACATTCTGTAAAATTCTTTTCTATGTTACTTGTAATGCTTCAGTGTTCTATATAATTCATGTAATATTATCCAGGTCTACTTATTAAGTAGACTACTGCTGTAGGTCATTCCAAACAGGGGCCATATTTTCCCTTACTGTAAATAAATGCTTTACTAAAAAGAATTATGAAGATATTGCATCATGTAGGGCATTAAGCACTCATTTTATGTAACTCTTCAAAGTTGGTTCAAACTCATAAGTGATGCTAGAGAAAAGTAGGTTGTGGATCATTGGCTTATATCAAAAAGTAAGATGGCTTACTCTTTTGCAAGTGAAAACATGCAGTCCACTCAATTCCCACTCTGATTCACTTTAGAAATGGGCTAGCAATAATGGTTGACTAACCTGTGATGTGATGACCATTAATGACCATTAACCATGGGATATTTGTGTTAATAGTTCCAAAGAACAGCTGTTGATAGCTTGAAAGTAATTTACTACCATGGTAAACATTTTTGGCCTAATTAGCTCTGTTGTTGATTTAGATGAATATCAAACTAATTTATGCTCAGTACTGTAAGAAAGCATCTGCCACATAATTATAAAGGATGTCTATATAAATTTGAATAATTCTAAACTAAGATAATTTCAGATCAGATTTTTTTTAAATGATTTTTAATCAAACAGGTATGCAATTTTAATGTAGACTCATATTGAGTATTATGAATTATAACAAAGTATGCAATTGGGGTACATTAAGAAAAGCAAATGGTTTAAATGTTGAGGAATATATTTATATGCTGTTTCAGATAATAAAATTTAGTGTATTTAACTTGAATGACATTCCTGTATGATTGATGGATTGTATTTAATGTGTAACATTTCTGGTACAATTCTTAAGACACTTTACCTAGCTAAAAGTTATAATACTGTAGTACCATTTTCCACTGAGTGGAAGTGATAAAAATCCCAGGTAAGGTCCTGGGGCCTTGAATCAACAAAGTAACCATCCACATTTGTACCATATTAACATTTTATCAGCTTAACCCCTTACTCAGTTCCAGATTCCTGGATTGAGAAGAGCTAAACTCTCATAGAAAGTTGTTCCCAATTATTATTTCATATATTGAAAAATTACTAAGTGTTTTAAAATCTTGATTAGGACACTTAGTGGAACAATTTTACTGATACCACAGACTAAAAATGTTTCTAGGGTTTGTACTGTCAAAGAGTGAGGAAATGGATTTGCAAGACTGCAAAGTTAATATGGTTTAATACATTATTGACAAGGTTTTGAAGTTATCTGGCTGCATCAGTCCTAAATGTTCAGCATGGCAATGTGGATGTGAAGACAGACAGGACAGTACTATACAGTATTTCTCATTTAAAAGACGTGTCCGTCTACCACCCAGTTTATTATTTTTCTTCTGCTTTGAACCAAATATTGGATGACCTGCAATCCAACCAACTTCTGAGTATCATATATCACTATTATTATTATTATTAATTACATTCATGGGGGGAAGTGCTCAACCAATATGGGTTATACAGCATCTGGAGAATTGGGGAGATAATCAGGTTCAATCCAAGAAAGAGGTCAGGTCTAATTCCTTCGATCAAGAGCCCCTCACTGGCTTCAAGGAACCTCCCTTGTGGGGCATGAATGTCACAAAGCAGGGTACCAGGTGGTGATAGTATTCCTCACTTGCCTTATTCATATAATTAAAATCTTAGAAATATATTTATTTGGATAACAGTAATATGTATCCTTCTAAAAGGCAAACACAGAAACAAGACCAAGTTCTTTGTAAAGTAGGTCATACATTTAAGAAGTAATAATTACTGTGTA